GCTGTGCCAACGCCAAGCTTGATGTGGCCCGGCCTCTTCGTGGCGCCAGCCGTCCAGCAGCTCTGCCCACTGCAGGGGACTACAAGCCTGGAACCTTCAAGGAAGCCTTCCAAGCCTATCTGACTGAGAAGAAGAACGCAGGAATGAAGCATCGCGAAGCTGTAGAGGCATGGATGACTAGCAACGAGAGGGCGACATTTCTTGAATCTGTGCCGGCTTCGGAGATGAAGAGAAGGCGCTTCAGCTGAAAGCAGCGAGGGGCTTTGCTGCTGCTTTGAACATGCATGCAGGTTGTGCCTAATTTTCTGATTTCCTGAGTAGGGCTGTGGATGTTGGAGCTTGAAAGATGATGTGGAGCACGTGCATGCATGCATGTAATAAGCAGCATGCATCTTCATGGGGCGCTGCTACGGGAGGATCCTGTGGCATTCACAAACTGGGGCTCGCTCACGCAAGAAAACATCTGAGCTCGCGCGGTCCACCAGCATGCATGCGTGGTAGAGATGCTATCACCTTGCACCGCTCAAATCTTATGAGCGCGAAAATGCTGCATGCGTGGTGTGTCCGCAATATGTTTGACCCGAGTGGCTTTAAATTGTGAGCCATACCTGAAGGGTGCAGGGCCATGAGTGTCTCCAAGATGTTTCAGTGGGGGTTGCCGCCCATCTTTGTGCTGCTCATTCTCTTGCTGCAGCTTCATGAGCGCTTTTCGGTCCAACCACAGGACTCGGATTTCTGGACGCTTGCCCTTTTGTAATCCTTCATATAGGCCTCGTCCCGTATGTAAATACCCTTAACAGTATCTTATATGAGGGGGTGTAATTCTCGTACGACCCGAACATGAGGGGCTATATAATGGGGTCCTATCTAAAAAATTCGATGAAATGAAAGAGGGTGCTATTTCACATTAGGGGCTTATTAGGGACTGTTTTGAATTAGGGCCTTATTAGGACTGATTCGAATTAGTGCCTTGTTAGGGAATGTTTCAAATTAGGGTCTTATTAGGGACCATTCCAAATTAACGCCTGACTATAAGGATTATTTGAAATTAGGGCCTTATCACGGACTATTCCAAATTACAACCGTATTCGGGTGTGTTTCAAATTAGGGCATTTATTCTCAGGGACTGATTCCTGTTTGGGCCTTAATGGGGATCATTCCAAATTTGTATTTCTGATTAGGGATTTATTAGGGATTCTTCGACATTAGGGCCTTATTAGGGACTATTTCAAATTAGGGCCTCATGAGGGATTGTTTCAAATTTAGGGCCTTGTCGGGGACTGTTCACAATTAGGGTCTTACTATTCGGGATTCTTTCATGTTACGGCCTTATTATGGACTATTTCAAATTTGTGCCTATTTCATGACGGTATAAGGACGA